CATGATTACTCACTTTTTCATTCCTGAATTGAACAATCGTGATGTCCAGGAGCTGTGGTTCCAACAAGACGGCGCAACATGTCACACAGCTCGTGCTACAATCGATTTATTGAAAGACACGTTTGGTGACCGCCTAATTTCACGTTTGGACCTGTGAATTGGCCTCCAAGGTCTTGTGATTTAACACCGCTAGACTATTTTCTGTGGGGCTATGTAAAGTCATTGGTCTATGCGCATAAGCCACAAACGCTTGACCATTTTCAAGACAACATTCGCCATGTTATTGCCGATATACGGCCACAAATGTTGGAAAATGTAATCGAACATTGGACTACATCCGAGCCAGCCGTGGCAGTCATATGCCAAAAATCATATTTAAAAAGATTATCTTTCGAATAAAAAAAATTCATGTCAATCGAATAATCCATCGTTGTTCTATCGCAATTTAAAGTTCTTTACCTCTAAAAAAATACCCTATATATTTATTTCTCAGCGACTCAGTATTGTATTGAAAACTTTTGGACACTAATGTTATAGAATATTAACGACTAACTCAGAAATTCCTCATAAAATATCATTGGTTCTTCGTAGAGTTAGTTCTGCACTGTAGCTGCCATTGGCAACCTTGTGATTTCTACACGTACTAGCTGTATATGAATATTTGCTTTCCTATCAAGCTACCTTCTTTTGAAATTTGATTTACTATCAAGATACCTTCTTTTAATTCGTGTACATACGCGTCTAGCGCCATTATGGGATTTTAGGACCCCAAACACCAGTTTATGGAGTAGTACCCTTTTATTTGTACCTTACGATTAGTTGTTTGGTTTGGGTGCTACTCCGTCCATTTTCTAATGGGAGTTTAACCTTCAGCGGTAAGTTATTTTTGTATACCATCGGACCACGTGCATTAACGCTCTTCCTGAAGAAGTTTGTTCAATATCTGCTTCCTTTCAGTAGAAAGGCATTGCGGAGGACCACCGTTCACACTCCTCCAGCTTTGTTTTGTAGCTGGCTTGTAGCTGTCTCGATTTTGTTGGAAAACATCGCTTTCCCTTGACAGAAAACCCTGATGTCAGGAGATAAAATATCTTTTTAATAGGCATTCTATAGATTATTGCTGACTGAAATTCTTAAGAGTGTTCTTGATTATGTTTGGCATTTTTCCTTTTCAAATATAGGGCAGTGCCTACATGTCACCTTCTTTTGGGCTTACTACATTACACTGATCATGATTTTGATTTTTGAGCTGCCATACATTATTTTAGAACAAGGATAACTTCCTAAGGGTATATCACTTTAGTACATTTTATCTTTCTTGCACTTGCTTACCTTTCTGTGAAAGAAAATGTACCTGGATATTTCTGCAAGTTTGAGTGTTTTAAATGAGTAGTTTTTCCTCAGACAGAGAATCGCGAGTAGATTGTTAAGCAGGCATGCTCTCTTAGAACTGGAAGAAGACCATTATCCAGATAAGACCACTGTCAGGTAAGTTAGATTTAGGCGTTAAAATATTTGTAATAATACTAATAATAATAATATTATTCACTCAATGTACAAGATAACAAACAATATGAGTAAATAATATAAATCAAAACAGGCCCAACAGAAGGCATCGCCTGTACATGGACCAATAATTTAAGTTGAAACTGTAGAATGCAAATGACAAAAAAGGACAAAAATTAGCTACAGTAGATTATGTATTTAGTTGATGTTCGTATTTATGAGTTTATGAATTTCAGTCCTAGATATAGAATGTAGCCACTTTTTTAAATTTCTTTTGAAACAATTTCCGAAACGTAAATCTTTTAAGTCTTTAGGTATAATTTCATAACATTTAGGCGCTAAATAGAGATATGATCGCTGCATTATAGATTTATGCGGTTGAGGAACTACTGTGCCACGAATTTTGTACCTGGTATAATGATTATGTTTAATTTTTTGGTCGGTGTTACAAATTTATGGTAGTGAGTGATACTGTTTAAGAAATAAAGCTGTCTAAAGTTTCGGTTTTTAAATATCATTTTTAGAATACTTTTTTGAAAAACATCTAAATTATAGATATGTGAGGAACATGCAGCTCCCCATGCTAATATACCATATGTGAGATGAGGCTCAATCAGTGCATGGTATAATGTTCGAAGATATTTTTCTGTCAATATATTCCCAAGGTATTTAATTTTGTAGGATACAAATCTAACTTTCTTTAAAATATAATTGACATGGATGTCTCATCGTAAGTGAGGATCCAAGACCACTCCAAGGTATTTTATGTTGGGCACTCTATTAATTTGCATTTTTGATCATTAATATTGAAGGAGAAATTTGTGTAATTTGGCAGATGTCTAGCATAAGATCCAAATGGTAAAAAATGTGTTTTAGAGTAGTTAATGCTTAATTTTCTACTGTTAAACCACTGAATAATTTTGATAAAATCATTTTCAATTACATTTTTCAGATCAGACCAGTCAGTGCCTTCATATATCTGCAAAACTAGTTTATTTTGCCAACACAATTAATTTGGAAAATATCATTTAAATATATATTGAATAACAGCGGACCTAAGACAGTTCCTTGTGGGACACCACACTTAATATACATTTCTTTACTAAATGATCCTGATATCTGCACAGATTGTGGGCGATTTGACAAATAACTTCGATCAGTGAGTACGCGTTTCCTCTGAAACCAATTCTCTCCAATGCTTCTAATAATAATTTGTGATTAACTGTGTCGAAAGCTTTCTTTAAATCAACAAAAATGCAGATTGAAGGGATTCTGTTATCAATATTTTGATATATTTGATTTACAATTTTAGTTATTGCGTCCGATGTAGCCTTCCCTTCTGTAAATCCATATTGATTTTCACTTAAAATTTTGAATTTTGTGAGGTATCGGATCACTCTAGTACATAAAACTTTTTCAAAAACCTTTGCTACACTGGATATTATTGATATTGGTCTATAGTTGTTAACATCTGTTTTTGTTCCTGATTTATGTATCGGTATTATATTACCTTTTTTTAAAATGAGGGATATATGCCAGATTCAAAGCATTTGTTGATTAGGTAAGTGAGTGGTTCTGTTATGTCCTCGGCTATAATTTTCAAATGCTCGCTTTTAATACCATCGAATCCAGGACTTTTCCGATTTTTTAAGGACATAACAGTGGTGTATACTTCACATTGCTCGACATTATCCAAAATAAATGAGTTCAAAGTTCTTTTTGGAGGCTGAGTATTTTGTACATTTGCTTGTATATTACTTGCTAAATTTTCGCCTATGTCAGTAAAGAATTGTACAAATTCATCGCATATCTGTTGAGTATTTTTCAATACTGTTCCCGATGTTGTATTTAACTCAGTGACACACTCTTTAACTTTTGTTTTCCCAGTAATCTCATCAATAGTTGTCCAAAGCCGCTTAGATCATTAAGTTATTATTCAATTTATTTAGGTAATGTTTTCGTTTGGTTTGCCTTACAAGCTCTATAAATTTATTTTATATTGGTTGTAGCGTCGGTATTCTCTGTAGTTGGCGTTAGTTCATTACATTATATAGTCTTTCTTTTTCTATTGCCGATGTTATTAATCCTTTGGTACTCCAGGGCATTTCTGCTTTTCTCTTTGTGACTAATTATTACTTATTGGTACTAATATCTATTAGTTTTTTTATTTTCTCTATGAACAGTCCCATTGCTTTGTCTATATTATTTATAGAGTATAATTGTTCTCAGGATTCTTGTTTGACATTTGATATTAGTTTTGAATTGTCGACAAAAAATTTGTAATTTTTCTGGTTGTTATTAACGGTAGGGATGTTAGAATGTTTTTCATTTGAAGATATCAGTAAAATAGTGGAGAAGTGGTCAGTAATATCGCTTTGTAGGATTATGGTATACAAGTAATTTTGTTGGATAGGTCTTTCACAAAGCAGTGATCTATACATGTGCCACTGATGGACCTTGTAGGTAGGTTTATATAGGACAGAAATCCGTTACTTGAATAGGATATTCAAGTATTCATTTGTGATGGGATCATTTTCCAAAATATTTATATTGACATCTCCCAAGAAAATATGTTGCTTTAAAAGAACTTATTTTGATTTGAAAAAAAAATTCGATATTCTTTAAAAACTCGTGGGGTTATTATGTTTAAAATTTGATTCCATCGGTGAAAGTGAATGTATCATGATTATATTGCAGTTCATTTCTTACAAAAACTATCACCCCATCGTTTTGGTTATAAGTGCCAAAGTTATACAGCGTGTCATATCCCTGCTGATTGAAGCAAGAAATATCAACCACTTAATGTAATGTAATATTGGTTTTGCAAGGTTAATTATCAAGGTCTCATAATTTTATTGTCAGGTAGTTTGAATAATATCCTTTCTTGAACTTGCCCTCCAGTGGTGGAGCATATGTGCTGCTTGTTTTGATAATATCTTGTGATTCTTTTTTAAATATGTTGTTAGATTCTTTTCTCATCCAGTCTTATGGTGAGGCTAATATCGTTGCTCTTGGTGGTACCTGACTTTGTCTCTGGCCGCAAATGGCGGGTTCTCTCCTCGATCCCGCATCGTCAACGCGGGTGTTCCCCAGGGATCGGTCTTCGACTTCGACATCGTTCTCCAATCTGAAGCCCGATTTTACAATCCGGGATCAAAGTTTCATCTGCCTTTTTGGGCTGCATTGCCGTCGCATACCTACAGGTAACAAACACATTTTTTTCGCTTTTCTGACGAATAATGTCTTTCGTAATACTCTCTACTAATTTAATAGTTGGTTAAACCTTAATTCTTGATTGTTCAATTTCAGAAACTATCCTAACAAGTCTTTTACATATTTATCTATTTACATGATTACAGCATGCTCAGTTGAGTAGTATATACTTAAATGCCTTAAGATTTCAAACAGACACGAATCTTAGTTTCTACAATACATTACGTTTCTTAAATTGAAGCAATTCTTTCTCAATTTAACTCCATTTCAAAATTTCACAGAATATATGAAAAAGTATAATTTTTTCATGCTTGCGGAAACTGGAACAGTAGCTGGATCATCAGCATCTGCTGCAGCTAGGGCACAGGATCTATCTTCTACATCCAATAAAAGAGGTCTGGCCAACTCTGCCACCCTAGCAGCTGCTGGCGCATCTGCAAACTCAAAAGCATCTTCTAACACCGACAGCCTTGCTCATTCTGCCAGCTCAGCAAAAGCTGCTGCCGGAGCTCAATCCTTATCTGGAGCTCAAGGTCTATCAGCTTCTCAATCCAGTGCTGGCGCAGGAGCTGCCTCGATCTCCCGCAACACCAACAGCCTTAACGTTGCTCAATCGAATGCTGGTGCTGGAGCTACCTCCATTTCCCAAAACGTAGTTCAATCTAGCTCAGGAGCAGGAGCCTCAGCGTTGAGCACAGGTGGTGTATCGCAATCCAGCAGTCTAGCTGGAGCTTCATCTTCTGTTATTGGATCTTCCTACCAGGGTATAGACGCGTATCAGGACAAGTTGGGCTTTCCGGACTACCAGGCTTGAACGGTCAACCTCGCTCCAATGGACCTTCTGGACCCGCAGGTCCCCCAGGACCACCTGGACCTCCAGGACCCCCAGGCCCCGCAGGTATTCCAGGCCTTAACGGACTTCCAGGACCTCAAGGTCTCCCTGAATTAGATGGCCTACCAGGACTCCCAGGACCAATAGGACCAAAGGGCCCAGTGGGACCTCAAGGCATCGCAGGACCTGAAGGACCAAGTGGACAAGAAGGACCTGCTGGACCAGCCGGACAACCAGGGCCAAAAGGATCTCAGGGATTGAGAGGACCCAGAGGACTACAAGGTATGGAGTGAAATACTTTTGGGAACACATCTGTTGGAAGCTTTTTATTATATATTTAGTCTCCAAGTCTAACCAATTTTGTACCAATCTTGCTGTTTCGTATATCTTTATTGCAAAGAAACGTACTCGTTTTATACCACAAAATTCCTCATGACCAATGAAAACATTTCATGACTAAAAAATAAATTATACTACTAAAATTGATCCTTCACAAAATTCACAATTCACAAAACTTTAAATGATGTTAAAGTGCTTGTACAATAGAAATCTTCAAAATAAACTAGGTTTCCGTCAAAACTAATGTTAAATAGTATTTTGTCCAACAGGTCATAAGTTGCTATTTTTGTTATATTGTTTTTTTTGTACAAATATTGCAGTACAGTGGACCCCCGATATACGGCCCCTGTCTAATCCGGCGCCCCCTGTAATCCGACATGTCTTTGAATATGTATTAAAATACATAAGTATTTGACAATCTTCGTTAATGTACATCACGCACGTTTTGAACAGGTTACAATTTGTAGGCGCCACCGCTATCGTGCTCGACGCGTTAGCATTGTTTTACTTAGTTTGAATTTGACTACTGGAGATAGCGGTACGGCCTAGCGTGCGTTCATTGTTTACTATTTATTCATTGTGTATTAAGTATAGTACCTAGTAATGTCATTAAAAACTCAGAAGCGAAAGCACAAAACATTGACAATTAGAGAAAATGTTATATTTTAGACCGCTTAAATCGCAATGAAACGTTCAGTAGTTTAGCAAGTGAATACGGCGTAGGCCGATCTACAATTTATGACATTAAAAGAAACCACCAGAAGATTAAGAAGTTCGTGTTAACTACTGACTGCGGGCCAGGCAAGAGACAGACACTGAAGAAGCTGAACATCCAGAAGTGATAGAAGCTTTGTACATGTGGTTCTTCAGGAAAGAAATAGGCATGCACCAATTTCAGGACCCATGTTGGTCATGAAAGCTAAGTTTTTTTATAAGGAAATAACAAAAAAGATGATTTTGTAGCAGCAAAGGATGGCTAGAACGTTTTAAAAGTCGTCATGGCATACGTTTAATGACTATTACAGGAGAGTAACTTTCTAACGATTTGCCACCTGCATAGAGCCCTTTAAATTAAGATTTTTACAAAAGGTGAACGATTTCAATCTTGACCCGTCACAGGTGTACAATGCAGACGAATCAGGGCTTTTTTTGGCGGGTGATGCCTAACAAAACTTTCGTTTCTTGTAACGAAAAATCCGTACCTGGACGAAAAGTAAGTAAAGAGCGTGTAACGATACTACCATGTGCTAACGCTGCGGGCACACCACGCGCTTAAGATGATGGTCATTGAGAAATCTAATAAACCACGGGCACTCAAACACATTGATTTACCTGTACACTATTACGGACAAACAAATGCATGGATGACAAAAGACCTTTTCAAAAAGTGGTTTGATGAATGCTTCCTACCTGAAGTTAGAAAATGGTCAAAGATCATAATTTTCCTCAAAAAGCGTTGTTGCTTCTTGATAACGAAGAACTAACAACTGAGGATAAATGCATCTCTGTGATGTTTCTTCCGCCAAATTGCTCTGCACTGATTCAACCAATGGACCAGAATAGCATTCAGTTTGTCAAGCAAGACTATAAGAAAAACCTACTTCTGAGAGCCGTATCAAAAGACCAACCAATAGAAAAACTTTAAAAGAATTTAATATGAAAGACTTGGTTTTTGCTCTTTGTCAGTCGTGGAATGCGTTACCGTCATCAACTATTAAATCGTCTTGGAAGAAGTTATGGCCAGATATAGTCACCACTCCTAGCAACGTTCCACAAATCAGTGTTAGGCACTTCGGAAGTTATAGAACAAGTAGCTACTGAAACACAGATAAGTCCGGAAGATTTGGAAATCTGGTGCCGTGGAATGGATAAAGAGGAAAATGTTTTCATGAAATGTCTGACGAAAAGATTATAAAAGAGGTTTCTAATTATACAACAAACAATCAGGAAAATAACGACGACGTGATTGCAACTGCTCCACAAGTCACAGCACACAAGACGCAATTAACGCGTTTGAGCTAGGTTTACATGTCATACTCCTCATTTGGAAGTTTCGGTTTCGGTCGAATCTAAAATTGGACCGAAATTTCGGTTTTGGTTTAGACTGGAATACCAGTGACAGTCGGACACCAATTTCAACCAATTAATGCGATTTGAACATATAGCATATAACATTCGGTTTTGGTTAGACTGGAATACCAGTGACAGTCGGACACCAATTTCAACCAATCAATGCGATTTGAACATATAGGCTCCTAATCTATTCAAATTCGTCGTTTTTTGCTTACGTCTCTTGCTATGGAACTGGCTTTTGACCACCGGATGGAATCACAAAAAGATAGAAAAAGGATATGACAGATTGTAGTTAGAAACATACAGTTAAATGAGGATAATCAGATTTCAACTTCATGCACCAACCTATATTTTTAGTTCGTATTTGTAGCTATATTTGTAACAGACTATACACATTACAGATCTATAAATATCCTCAATAATGCGGCTTTCGACATATATACGAGAGTGGTTTCTAAAAAGACGTCTCCTAATTACTATCACCTGTCCGCAGCGCGCACCCGGGTTGACATCGACAATTCCAGGATGAAAGAAAGATTATATGTTTACGTTTTTCTATAGTAGTCTTAAGATGTATCAAAGAGTAGTTGAAAGGTGATAAATATAGCGGTTTTGAAATGTCGACATAAAAATCGGGACACCTGACCCTAATATATTATAACTCTTGCGTTTTAATGGCTCTACTCTTGGATTATTGTAGATTGATGTTTTCACAGTTATATTATGGGTAAAAATTATGAGAGATACAGCTACCAGACATTTTTCACTCCCAAGTCACAACAACAACATCACTAGATTTCCTCGGTGCGTGTGTCTGTCTCTATAACTTGGAAAGTACTGCCCAGATTTTGATGAAAGTGTTACACAAAGAGAAAAAAGTTTGTATTCGTAAATACTTTTTTCTCAGAGGGTTTAACCTGTGCTGAACTTGGTCTTTTGTGAACTGATGACGGCGTTGTGCAGAAAGTGCAACAGACTTGAAGCGGTAAGCGTTTCGACCATGCGCTCATATAAAGATAGTATACTAAGTGACATATAAATCCGAACACCCAGTTTAAATGGTTTTATTTTAATAAAATTGTGTATAAGTACTTAATGAAGCATAATAAGTAAATGATAAAAATTTCAAAATGATTGCACTTCTTTAAAGCCCTTTGACCTTTAATAATGTGTGGATGCACCCTGATGTGCTACGCATTCACCAACGCGCCTAGGCATGCTTCTGATCAGGTGGTCAATGTCCTCCTGTGGTATCTCATTCCAGGCAACCACCAACTCCTCTCGAAGTGCTTCTAGAGTCTGAGGAGGACGTTGCAAATTGAACAATCTCCTACCCATCATATCCCACACGTGCTCAATTGGGGATAAGTCGGGAGATCTTGGTGGCTATGGTAACAATGTGACATCATTATGTTGAAAGAAGTCTATTGTGACTCTTGCAACATGTGGTCGGGCATTATCTTGTTGGAAAGTTGGATCTGCCAGGGTGTCAAGATAAGGTAAAAGATGGGGTTCTAGAACTTCGTGGATATAACGCTGCGCGTTCATGTTACCTCTGATGAAGATTAAAGGTGACCTGGAACCATAAGCTATAGCACCCCAAACCATAACTCCAACAGTGTGATGAACATGTCTTTCAACAAAAAACTGTGGATTCCTCCTTTCACCACGTCGCCTTCTAACCCTGGCACGACCATCGTGCATGCCTAAACAAAATCGAGATCGTCACTAAAGACAATACTGTTCCATTCCTGATCCCAGAGTGACCGTTGTCTGCACCACTCAAGGCGATTACGTCGGTGTTCTCGAGTTAAAGGGAGGACCCAGTGTGGCCGGTATGAAAACAAGCCAAAACTTCTCATTCGTCGGTAAACACTTCGCATGCCAATAGGTCTTCCGTGTTCTGCAAACCATTCATTTGCAATGGACCTGGTAGTGGAGAAACGGTCCCTTAAGGCCAATAATCTTAGGCGGCGATCTTCACGGTCTGTTGTTCTACGGCGGCGTCCAGTGCCCCTTGCTCTTTGCGTACGGTCTTCTCGAAGCCATGCCTGACAACACCTAACCACAGTGTCTACAATTCTTTGCACTCTGCAATTGCCCGAAAAGAAAGTCCCACTATACGGCCCCTATCAAACTCACTAAGTTGACGAAATCGTACAGGTCTCCGTACTCTAGGCATCGTAACCGATCGTAAAGGATGTCAAGAACCAAAATCCGACAACGTTGATTCTTTATTGCGGCTGAAATACTCATTTTTAGAGCGCTAGTGAATTAAAAAAAAAGCAGTATAAAAACCGGAATGTCCAACTGATAAGGCTAAAAAATTTTTCACTTGTTATTTACAGTAAGATAAATACATTCACCAACTTTTATTACGAGTAAAATAAAACCATTTAAACTGGGTGTTCGGATTTATATGTCACTTAGTATAATTTGTCGATATCACTGCCACCTCGAATTTTGCAAGATTAATCGCTTCGGGCTCCTTGATTGGATTACTGCGCTCAACCTTATACGTACACATAACCAATGGAATGTAAAATGTTCACATATTTTAGAGGATGAATACAATTCAGAAAAGCATACATTATGCTCAAGGCCAAACAGTTTCAAAGTGAATGAAGATAATCTAAACATTACGTCAAATGTTTCCTTGATACTAATACATACGACATACGTCGTTTGTCGTTAAATATATACCAGCAAAAAAAGAATAGATCAACGTTGTATTCATGATTTATTGGGGTATAAATCTAGTAAATTATAGACTTACATGTAGTAAGGGATCGAAGGGAACGTGATTACGAGTGAATTAGGGATATAAACTTGGAATGATGCTGTCGATAAATCTTCTGGGATACCATGCT